AAAATATATGCATCACGTTACATATATTTTTAAGTAAAGAATGTTATGTGAACTCAAATATTTAAGTACATATAACAAAGGTTTTCTTGTTTATTTTATGTAAAATAATTCCAAGTTGGGATTACTTAAAAAGTATGATGCAAAAATGGTGCATATACATTTTAAGTAAATCCAACACAGTGCAGGCCATGTGAGATCAAAACAAATCTTAGTTCTGTTAACTTAACATTTAAGCCCATTTGTATATAAAAATAAGACAATTAAATGAGCTGAACCAACCATTTTAACTTATTTTAGATCTTCAGCTATTGGTCTGCTAACTGCACTGCTCCAGTACATTCAATGTCTTAAAATAAATTAAACATGCAAATCACACACAACAAAGCATTTAACTTTATTATTTTTTTATTTTTTGCCAAAGGTTTGAAAGCCTGAAACCACACATGAAATGTAACAAAATGTGGCAAATCGACAAATGGAAAATCACTTTTAACAGGTCACTTTTTCACCTTTGCAACACTTCTCAAAAGATTTACATTTTTCCAATATTTACTTTTGCAACATACAAAAAACCTCTTAAAGGACAATTCCGGTGAAAAATGAACCTAGGGGTAATTAACACATGGTTACCGAGTTGATCGTTCTCTGGTATGCGTTTTCATGATAATCGAATGTACGTAGAGTTTTATCTCTAAAAACTGTTTAGCTTATAACGCTAGTATATGGGGCATAGAATAAGCAAAAGTAAATCGCTAGTTAATACCACTAACAAGGCTCAAAATAGCCCCACACTAACACGGTAGCATAATGAGGGTCCCTACATGCAAACCGAAGCATTGAGAACTTTGTAAGTGTACAGACAGTTTAATAAGAAGATAATTAATATAGACAGTACATTATGCGTATACAGGCAGGAGCCATTAACAGTCTCGACCAGTCGAGCCACGAACGCCGTGCTAAGTGAGATGAACTGTGACTTGGAATCTCATATGGTCCGTTGTTTCCGGAAGAAACTATTTAAATAAACAGATATAATTCATGCATTTCCATGTAATTAGTTTCACAAACGTAATTCCTATCGACCAGCTCACTTAGCACAGCGTTCGTGACTCATCACCTCTATGCCTTCCAGCGTTACCCCAGTCTGTGAAGGATCATCTGCTGAGCCACCTTTCGTGATGATCCTCAATGTGAGATGTTCCAGTTCCTCTTCGTTCCTATGAGTATATAAAAAAAAACAGGAAATCTGCATTTACTTGCAACATCACTTGTTATTGTTCAGACTGTTGCAAAAAATCAATTGCATTGAAACACAGAATGAGAAAGAAATGTACCTTTATATTTTAAAATAAAATAAATCTCTTACAGCCTCTTACATTTGCAACATTTAAAATGTCTATACTGTCACGTTTTTATCAATTTATACTTGCTGGATAAAAGTATTAATTTATTTTATTTATTTAAAAAAAAAAGTTCTAATTGACCCAAAACTTTTAAATTGCATCTTAAAATATATTCAAATAGAAAACAGTTGTTTTAAATTGTAAAAAATTATAATAATAATAATCACAATATTACAGTTTTTGCTGTATTTTGGATCAAATAAATGAAGGCTTGGTGGGCAGAAGAGACTTCTTTTAAAAACATTAAACAATCTTACTGGTTGTGTGTGTGTGTGTGTATATATATATATATATATACACACACATTTTTTTTCTGGTTATCAAAAATATATCTAAAAAGAAAAAAACAATAATTAAATGTTACAAATTAGTCCATTATTAAATGCCTATAAATATAAAAATGAGTCTATTAAATAATATCTATTAATTTAAACAAAACAAGTTAATTAATGAAGACTTTTGTCCAGAGGTTTTGAACGAATCTCTTCAAAACATTTTAACAGTCAGTCACTACTGGAATAGCCAAACAGTAAATAAAGATCTACAATCTTTGTTTGAAGCCAAACTTTTGCTTAAAGGGTATTTACTTATTTTGATAATAATTTTGAAGGTTTAATAGACAGGGTTGTAGCTGTCATTTAGGAATAATATTGTGTTTGAATCAAGATCGCCATTATTTAATGATAAATCGTGCACACGGAGCTGTAGCCAATGTGTTTTCGAATTTAATATTTGTAGGCCTATGTTAACGAACGTTACCAGTAGGCTAACCCGCGCCCAAGGCCTGGACGCCCCCCTTTCCCGCGATCCATTTATAGATATTAGAGAATAGAATATATGGGAATTTGTAAATATGGAAAGTAAAACATTTTTAATCCGAAAACTCATAGCCTGCATATAATAAATGACAACTACATTTCGTTAATAAAGTAGGCCTACGAATTTATCCGTGGGGGAAAGCGCCGTCCGAATTGTCCTCTTATGGTGTGTTCAAACCGAACGCGAATAGAGCGTCAAATACGCGTCTATCGCGTCTAGTTAGACGCTTGAATCTGCTCGAGTTCAAATTTTTCAACTTGCGTGGAAGACGTTCGCGGCAAACGCGTCACCCAATTCGCGTCATTCGCGACGCCCGGCGCGAATGATGTGTCTATTCGTGTCTTTGCATTGACTTTGTAATCTACTCGCGCAAATTATTAAATTCGCGTTAGGTGTGAACACACCATTAATACATACGTGCCAACGTCATGGTCATATATTTCGAAAAACACAATAAATACTCTGACTAGCCTACTATAAACACTTGACACTTGATAGCCTATTCAATGGAAGCACACTCGCTTAATAATTCAAATATACTCTCGTGCAAAGTCACTCATTTCATACATTAACTTGTAGACTACATAGGTGTTCGTAACACGTTTCTAATTGTTGATGCAAAATTCGTAGCAATTCTGAAATTCAGTTTAAAAGTTAGTTTCTTGACCAAAAATGTAATAAACGATTGAGTGTACCTTAAGTTAAAAAAAGTTAAGCTTACCTCTTTTCAGCGTCTTCACATATGTGCTTCACAAAATGGCTCCAATTTTTGGCTGGAAAGGCATCACGGGAAATTGCATATCACGTGGCTTGTATAGTTACTTAAAATGTTATGCTCGATTTACTTAATTTTGAAGCAATTATTATAGTAGTTGACATGACTTATGTTTTTTCATTTTATTTATGCATACATTTAAGTTCACCTAGTTACTTATATTTTTGTGTTACACACAGTAAATATGTTAAGTAGAGTTTGGAAAGTTATGAATACTTAATTTTTTGTGTTAAATCTAATAACTTTTATAAGTAATGGTTGTTCAGCCAACGAATCGTTTTTTAGAGCTTTGGTACCACTTTGATTTTATAGTAACACTTTACAACAAGGTTTCATTTGTTAACATTAACTAACATGAGCTATAATGAGCAACACATTTGTTACTGTATTTGTTAATCTTTGTTAACGTTAGTTAATACAAAATATATTGTTTATTCATGTTAGTTCACAGTGAATTAACTAATCTTAACAAATACAACTTTTGATTTTATTAATAGTAAATGTTGAAATTAACAAATAAAAATATGAATAATGTACAGTTAGTTCATGTTAACTATAATGTTAACTAATGAACCCTTATTGTAAAGTGTTACAGATTTTACTTAGAAATTTAAGGCAACAACTAAACTTTTACATTTAAATTTGTTTAATTTTTTATACTAATTAAAAAATATATATTTTAAAGATGTCTTTTAATGCAAAAAGATGCCACATAAAATAAAAAGGTTCTTTATTGGCATGGTTCCATGAAGAATCTTTAACATCCACAGAACCGTCCCATGCCACAAGTTCTTTAGAATTTATTAAATGTTCTTCTCACTACTTAAAAAACAAGGTTCTATGGGGAACCAAAAATGTTTATTCTATGGCTTCGCTGCTACAAACCCCTTTTAGAACTTTAAAACAATCAATTTATTTATTTTTATATATATTTTAAATAGACTAATTATATTTCATTCATTTAAACCTCCCAAACAGGTTATAGAGATTATCTGACTGAAATAGGGTTGATGTCAGACTGAGGATCATAGCACTTCTTCTCCACAGGGTGGAGCACAAGATGTGTGTCTGACTTTCAAGGCATTCCACCTGGATGCTGAGATTTCTAACGTGCATGTCCATTTATTTCCTGATATAAGCTATATAACATCAGCTTCAAATTAAAAACATCTCTGCTAATCCCGTATGCAAAACTATGTTTGCTATTTGTATTGCTATGTAAAATAATACAGATGTCACCAAAACAAATCTGGCTGTGGTAGTGCAAATATATAGCAAACAAACTCTTAATTGCAATTTTCTGGTCATGCCTGGGTTTTATGTCCAGAAACGTCCGCTCCAGAATTATTACTGTACTTGAAAAGAAGGGATGGGCGTGAAGCGCCCTCTAAAAAGGATGAAGGAGCAATTCCTTTTCTCCACTCTTATTGGGTGCGCGCTTCACTCCTTCTCAAGACAGCTGAAGGAGCGGCCACACAGCTCACACACAACTATGGATTTAACAGGTAACATAATGTCAGCATGAAGTAGAAAAAAGGCAAAAGAAAAATATTAAGATATTAAATGTCACGCTGCTGTTGTTTTTATTGATCTATTTATTTAATTGGAAAGGCATGTAATGATTCGAGAAGTGATATTTACTACAGGGGAAAAATAACTGGAAAACTTGTTTTTAAATTTAGTTAATATCAAGTGAGCTAAACGCTGTTTGACCTTGTATTTCTAGTCGAGATGATATGTTGCGTATCGTTGCGCAATTTAATCTTGTCAAGTCTGATATTGATAGCCCATATGATTTTTAGCTATTTACTGAGAAATTGTTATTCGTGCACTATTATTGCTTTGAAAATATTTTTGTTCTGATTTTTCGTTTTTTTGTTTTGTTTTTTTAATCATTCAGGAAACATTGCGCAAATACTCTGAGCACCTCAAACTGATGCGCATAGACGAGAAGAAAGGAGTGTGTGTGACGGTGAGTAAGCGAGTAAGTGAGAGAGAAAGAGAGAGAGAGGTTAGTCTGGACCTGGTGATAGAGCCACATCAAACCTCCAAGGGGCTGCTGGTTAGATCAGTTTGCACAGGATTCTTGTTCCGATCATGGTGCCAGCAGCCTGTCCCGGACCCTTTGCCATGCTGGCTCTCGCCTTTCTCCTGGGATGTGGCATAGGTCTATGTATGGGCCAGAATGACACGGAGCCCATCGTTCTGGAGGGAAAGTGTCTGGTGGTGTGCGACTCCAACCCTTCTTCTGACGGAGGAGTCACCTCTTCACTTGGGATATCTGTGCGCTCCGGCAGCGCCAAAGTGGCTTTTTCGGCCGTCAGAGGGACAAACCACGAACCTTCGGAGATGAGCAACACATCCACGACCATCTATTTTGACCAGGTCAGGTGTCCCGTTGGTGACTTTGTAATCACAGGAACCGCATTTGTAGGGCTGTGCTGAGGAATTTCAGGCAGAAACTTTACGAAGTGACAATTGTTTCTATTATATTCACGATGTACGTTTTCAACCAATTCAATTGCGTAAATCTCATTTCCTTCCCGTGTAGCCTATAACATTATTTAATCAAATGTATGCATTGTTATTTAGATGTATGTGCAATGGCAAATAGTCGCCAACCTTTCAACAAATTGCTCAGTTACAAAACAAAAAATAACAACAACAACAACAACAACAAAAAACGCCCGTGCTGTCAAAAATGTTAAACTTAACCCCAAAGGTTAACAACAAGGGAATGTTTAGATTAACAATAACTGACCCGCGGTCTTTAAAATAGACCTGTTGTAATTACAACTGACCCGACTGTTGGCAGGTTTGGAATGCGCATATGGCAAGCCCTGTAAACATTTGCAATGAGATAAGAAATGTATTTGTAACCATTATGATAGATACTAGTGTCTATAAATAAGTGCTAGTATCTAATAAATAAATACATTTAAAACTGGTACAACTGGAACTGATACAAGCTGATACAAGCTGACTTAGTTACAAATAACCAATAAGTAACCTACCAAATGAATACTTGTAAAACTGAAATATGACCAGCAACAATTGTATTACATAGGGTAGTTGGAAAATTAATTGATATCTGGACAACAGATCACCATATAATTCAATGGGGGAAATGCATTTTGTTGCCAGAAACAATGACATGTTATTTCTCGCTATTGGAATATCTATCAAAAAAAAAAAAAAAAAAAAAAAAAATGAAGCTGAAAAGACTCAAGTCACTATTGGATTTTTCACTAGAAAAAAAACTATTTAAAAACAAAAAAATATATTAATATTGTTTGTAAAGAATAAATGTTAAAGCAGCTTGCCACATTGCGCTTGAAGATCCGCATGTGTCCGTGTAAAATTGCAGAGCTAAACGTAAATGTTTATGTAGATTCACACTTTTTAATTTGCTAGTGGATTTGTAACGCGTCGTGTTGCTTTTGTTTCAGGTCTTAGTAAACATTGGCAATCACTTCGACCTAAAAGCGAGTGTGTTTACCGCGCCACGCAGAGGAATATACAGTTTCAGCTTTCATGTGGTCAAGGTTTACAACAGACAAACCATACAGGTGAGCGGAGCACCATATTCTTTTGCACAAATTAGCCTACTATTGCAGTCACCTCTCATACTGTGCGTTATTCATGAACCCTAGTGGAAAGCCGATTCTCTGCTTTCAAAGGACTAAAGTGCGCTGTGTTCTGTTATTTAGGTTAACCTGATGCAGAATGAGTACCCGGTCATATCTGCTTTCGCTGGGGATCAGGATGTCACGCGGGAGGCGGCGAGTAACGGAGTTCTACTGATGGTGGAGCGCGAGGATCGAATCCATCTCAAGTTGGAACGAGGGAATCTAATGGGCGGATGGAAATACTCCACGTTCTCTGGATTTTTAGTCTTTCCTGTATAACTGACTCGCAAAAGTGTGCCTGTGAATGATACTTTCAAGAAACCGAGGAAAAATGAGTATCAGTTCTTTGAACAAAACTGAAACATTGCAAAACTGCATATGGACGCGGTTCAGGGAGTTCCCGCCTTTTTTGGCCGCAGCGATTTTCAGTCGCGATTGTTCTTGGATTTTATCGACGGGAAACAAATCGCAACTGACAATTACCTGGACCACTATATAAATGAGAAGATATTTAAGACGAAGACGAACTTCAAATCCCAAACTAGGTGTATTTATCAGTGCTTTATTTTGTGTTTGTATAGCCTTAATGATTCGGCTTCCGTCCAGTGAGGTGTGTGGTGTGGAGCTGCGGAAGTGCTTTATGGCCCCAAAGCATTTTTGCACGAATGGAAGATTCCTGTTTTGTGCTGTCAATGATGTGTCGTCTGGATGCAGAACATACTGAAAATATGCCAAATGTAGGCCACCTGCTATACAGTGATTATTAATGAGAAAGAAAAAAAAACATATATCAGCCAATGGAGACGTCTTAAAACTTTTTGCTAGACATCTATCTAATTTATAAAATACATATTTACATTATGGTGTGTTCTACATTCCGGATAATAAGTAGCTTTGATTAGTGTTCAGTGACAATGCTCACAGATGTAAGTTGTGGAAAAAGAAAAGTCCCTATATAATGTTCCGCCTAATAAAATATTGTATTGTACACATATTTACTCAATCTTTTTTATTATTAACGTTGATTATATTTTAAATGAATGATAAAATTCGTATTAATGAATCGCGCATGCGCAAAAGGCTTATTTTTCCTTGCTTTATGATGAAAAAGATTTACAATAAAACGGCACTGTCCATGGTGCTGAAGCAACACTCGGACTGCAGAAATCTTCTCAGATGTCTCAAGACTGGATGATAAACAATTGCGTATGCTGCTATAAATGCATTAATAATTATTCTGCTACCTTTAATCATTAGACTCATAGTCTATTGGTCTGTTCAGCAATACTTTAGCAATATGATGTTAAATTAGCCTTGGTTCCACCACTGGTGGCCCGTAGAAACAAACAGGCACACACGCACACACGCACACACACACACACGCGCGCACACACACACACACACACACACACACACACACACACACACACACACACACACACACACACACACACACACACACACACACACACATTTATGCATTTTTAACACACTCCCTGTCTGTGATTGTTTCATATACACAGACTTTCATTCATTGTAGATTTTTCGATCTTTCCTTCTTGCTCTCTTACACATATCTGCACATAAATGCACACACACATCTGCATGCATACACACACCCAAATGTGTATGTAAAACATTTGTGTGTGTGTGTGTGTGTGTGTGTGTGTGTGTGTGTGTGTGTGTGTGTGTGTGTGTGTGTGTGTGTGTGTGTGTGTGTGTGTGTGTGTGCGTGTGTGTGTGTGTGTGTGTGTGTATGTGTATATATATATGTATAGGTTATGTTACAGTGGTGTCAAAACATTCACAGGTCAAGTATGGTTCATCAGAAATTCTGTTTATTCATAAAGGGAAGCTGGTGCGTGAATGTAGGTTCAAATTCATGCATGCAAATGATGCACACGAAGGTCTCCAGCTCTGTTCTCAACTGACTAAGATACAAAATGTCTATACGGTATTAGTTAGATCAAAGCGTAAGAAGTTGCAAGGCATGGCTCGTATGCTTTAAATCAAGCCACTGAACTTTGAGAGTGCTGAACTGTATGTGCACATGTGTACTGGACTGTATCATGAAGGGTAATTTGAGGTGTCAGTATTGTAATAACGCCTGTCATAAGCCATAAGTGTACTGAAGAGCATGAAGGGTGACTGTGTCTCTTTCAGATCCACTTAGTTTTAAACCCATAAAGACAGTGTATGTGAATATAATAAAAAATATATATAATTTATTTAAAACTTAATGATTCATTAATGTTTACCCTTGTCAAGCATTGACAGTTTAAAATAGAAAAGCAGGTAAAGTTCAATGAATCGCTCAATCTGAGATCTGAGTTGTTTGCAAAGAGCATTCTAGAGATTTTATGTCCTTTTTTTATTCCCTTTCTGTCTTAATTAGATTTTTTTAAATCACTAAAAGCATTCGGATTTTTTATTTATTTTTTATAAAAGTTTACTGTTCTTTACTTCCTATAAAAATTAACTATTTTTTTAATCAAAATATCCTTCAAGTGTCTGCGTTTTCAATGCGACATCCATTCACTTTCAGAGTGTGAGAGAATAATTTACAAAAAGGAGCTGGCTTCTTTATTTCTTAAAAATGACAGCCTTTTGTTTTTGTCAGCATATATCTAATGAAATAAATTACATTTTAATCAATTCTAAATAAATACAATTAGGTCCCTTCATATGCACATTCTTATTTTCTGATAAATAATCAACAGTTTCCCTCAGAACGATTGAAGTACTTATTTACATAATTTATATTGTGGTTGTCAGTGTTATTTATGATAGCAGTATAAGGTCCTAACCCCCCTAATCATGAAAGGCAGCTGATGACCTCATATAGCTCCGATCTCTGCTCTGCTATTGGTTCTCTGACAGTGCATAATGTCACCAGTAAATATTATTGGCAGGCCTCATTATGTTGTATTGGTTTCAAATGTAAAGAAAAATGAGGGCACTGGAGATGGTCCTCTTCTGTTAAAATTAATGGTAAGATGAGCAGCCTGTTGTTTGACGTAGACATATACGCAGCCCATTAAAGTAAGATCATAAAACACCCAGCGCAGTAAATTAGTGTACTCACAGGCATTTTTATGCCTGCACAGATGGCCAAACACTGTGTGTTTTTAATTATGAGGGTAAAAACAGCAGCACCTTAAAATACTTTCTGAATTTTTGTAGGTTTTAGTTTACAGACCCAAAACCGAGTTTTTCTCCAGGAAGACAATGCTTATTAACTTCCAATGTGGGCTGGTTTCAGACCTCATATTTCATACAGTAGACCCAGCAGGATCATCCACCTCAGTTATCTCTCAGCAAGACACACACTTGAGTCATTTAGGTTCTGGAACTGCATACTAAAAGATATTATCAGTTGGTTTTAAAGTCGCCATGAACAGGAAGTAGCGATAGTCTTTTCTTCCCTGTAATGTAAACAAGACAAAATAGGGCGGGCTTGCTTTTATCCATTTGGGAATTGATTGGATTGTTGTGGTTTGCTATTGCTGTGATGTCATGTGAGTGACAGGTTGTCCCGCCCTCGCATCAGTAAACTCAGAGAAGAGAAGAGATGTCTCTGCAAGAGGGAGGGAAGTTATTTTGATTAAAGATTATGAGGGCACATTCATTTAAAAAAAAATTATGTGCAAGGATAAATCATATATAATAAAAACAAGAATTGTCAATACTGATTTCAAGGTGACTTTAAAGTTGATGTCAGTTACAGCCATTATGAATAACTATATCTTTTATTTATTTATTTGTAAGTTATTTATTTATTCCTATGTTCTACCATTTTTCAACTTTCAGGAATACAAGTTTATCCATTACTCCATACTCTGATATATTATGTTGAAACAACAAGCTTTGCAGGTGAGTTGCATTATGAATGGTTTTGTCCTTCAGTCCCATTCACCTTCTTCCCAGCATGCACCAGGGCATGAATAATTATTTAGGTTGCACTCTTTGACCTTTTTAGTTACACGGGTTTTTCTTAATTTTGTTTTCATGTTTAGTAACTTGTTGTCATGTGACGTCATAATGCATTTATTCCTCTACTAAAATTGTTTAGAAATTTGATTGATACCTAATTGATGCCTCGTGTTTCATGTACCAAACTATTGAGGTTTTTCGTAAGTCGTGTGTGTGTTCGTGTGATTTTATCAATAGTTTAGAAAAACAAGCACTTTGCTCTTTATGACATTTACATTTATAAAACATTAAATGAAACTTGGGAATTGCTACATAATTTAAATAAATACAATAAAGGGAACAATTTGAATATGAATATACGCTTACTGTAGCCACTATAGGTAATTGTTACAATCATGAAAACCTGACATTTTAAATTCAGTCAAGACATTTACTTAAAATAACAATGGATGGATGGATGGATGGATGGATGGATGGATGGATGGATAGATAATTACAAATCTAAATCAAATTCCTTAAATCATATTTATAAAACCTCATTTTGTTCTCACTGCAATATACCATTGTTATGCAAAATATGAAAATACTAAGAACTGTAAATAATACTTTGGAAAATACTTTCCCTTTCATAGAAAAACTTTACATTATTGTGTTCCTTCTGCAGATGCGATTACCCATTAGCAGTCTAACAATTTAGAGGCTCATAACTGCCTCTCAAGAGTCCAGAGGAAGGTAATCTAGCTCAGGAAATGGCTCAAACCAATATGCTCCCTCTGAGATTGGCCTGGACAATCAAAATGGCGAACATCATTGTGCACAGCTTTTGAGCACTGATAAGAGACCTTCATCTTGAGGAAATGTCCACCTTGACATTACAGAGGGATGCACAGAGATCAATTGGTCTCCTTGAGACACAGAGGAACCAAAACAAACTTAAATGTTATTACACACTAAAACATTGTTTTTATGCTGTTCACTTTATTTAAACAATCAATTTTGATTTAAGACCATTGTATCAGGTTTCTGGTTCAAATGTTATTGCTTTATGTTAAATTGACTTGAAAAAGTTCCTCTTTTTACCCTTGATATTTTCAATTTGAAATAACGTTTCGATCAAGTAACCCAATCAAACGAGACTTTTGTACGGGACTGAATTGGGAGAGTAAATGTTAAAATAAAGTGTTATTTCATGCATTTTTAAGCAAGATGAGAAAATTGTGAGACTTGTTAATGGTTAATGTTCTATTGGTATTTAAAAGTTTTTGTTATGTTTGTGTTGAGCTTTTGCTTGGGTTTAACAAGAATTCAAATTGCTCTAATAATAAAGCAATCACTTCTAAACTGCCAACACTGAACATCACATGTGTAAAGAAAAGTTATATTTAGTTTGTTGTTATGTAAATCACAGGACTAAGCTAAAAGCATCAATTGTATGACAATTTGATTAATTCAATTAAAATGATAATCATTTATCTAAGTTAAACTAAAACCATTTATTCAAGTTAACTGAACACCATTGATTCTAGTTAGTTATACATGAATTAGTTTATTCTATTGGGTTTTTACTTGTTTCAATCTTGTAGATCCACTGCCAAAGATCTATTTTTTTTAATGTAACAATTAATAATAATGCATTATAAATGAGAAATTGTTGACTTAAAAAGCATAAATGACTGTGTGGCTGTGGGTATATATGTTCAAAATTCCCTGTTTTTTGGCGTCTGTTAAACAAACCCCTTTTATCAATTCATTCAGACCCATTTTACCAAGACAAATATTGAATGCATTTTATTGCCATTCCAAATGGATTTTTCTACCTGTTTAATGCAGATTTCCTTGATAAATGACTCTCCTTAATTTTCAAAGCCCACTTTAATTGTCTGTTGTCTTTGCGTAAGGGATAAGGTGATATTAACCACCGGTGCCATACTTTTAATATAGATTAAAGCTTTGCTCCGGGGAAATGGCACCTCTATAAAGATGTTTCATCCTCTGGCTCGAACATTTATATTCATATGCGTGCTCATTTTAACTCATTCTTCACCTGAGCATGTCATTTTAGCATGTTTCCTCTTGAATGTGCACTAGAAATACTGTATGGCATGTGAGAGAATTCATAATTAAAAATGAAGGAGATGACGGGGAGGACAAGTCAAAGAAACTATATTAAAAAGGAATCAGAATAAAAAGGCATGTGCATCATGCGGCAGCTACTTATA